AGGAGGGACGCCAGTGGGTCGGGCCGTGTACAGCGGCGATGCTCATACGATTGCTGCAAGGCGAAATAGAGAGGCTGACCCGATGGAGCCTCCGCCCCCGCGAAGCTAACGAGGTCCCACCGCAGGTCGGCAATGTGCTTCCCGGCTCTCTCGTGATACCGTTGAGCGGGGACACACAGTCGACGGGCTGCAAATTTGGCGGGTACTTCGGCTCGGAGTGGAGAAACACTGAGGATGTCGTCAAGGCGTTTGTCGAAAGGAGCGGACCTCCCTCTGAAAGATCTACATGGGATCCTCGAACTGTCTTCTTCTATCAGCCTGAGCCTGATGCCTTCAACGATGAGTATGACTTTTTTCTGTTCGTGGTGGGCAAGGATGGCAAGCTGAGCGATGTGTGGGGCTACAAGTGTGTCCGCGGCGACGCCTTACCGCCAGGAGAGGACGAGCCTTTTATCGACTATAAAGATCGCCGGCAGCAGTGGATGGAAACCAATGTGTGGCCGCCTCTGCCGGGCAATCCGCTGCCGGGCGCGGCCGATCTCTTCAGTGATCCCGATATGCGGTCGATGGAGATCAAGTCAGTGTGGCTGCGAGGGGGTGGGGGGCGGGGAGAGAAGGCATTTGTGAGGAGGCAGGAGGACGGCCATGCGTGGATTGTGCCATCTCGAGACGATGTTGATGCACTACTCGGTCTGGCACTGAACAGAACCTGTTCCTTTGTACGTTCGAGTGCTTGAGGCATGTGTGTTGTGTAAGGGGATGTAGATGGACATGTGGGTGTAGACCGGTTGTGTTGTCATTTGTAGTCAAGACGGAGACTTTTCAGTGTTTGCTCATGATGCGCTATCACACTGTCGGTCAAGCCCTATGCCGTGTGAAATGATTTGTGTGGACATGTGGGTGGGTGTGGGTGATTTTTGCGGCCCTTTTCCACCAGAGGCCCTTATGGCCAACGCATAGCCACGTAAACATGCACACACAGCAAGAGGTGACACTGAGCAAGAACATGTCCCTATATACAGTTGTCGTGGCTTGCCGTGCGAGTGGGTGTTCCGTTCATGACGTGCTGAGGCTCACCTCTCTCACAACAATTGGCACACGACGTCCACGCGAAAATCGGCAGGCAACGTGGTCCATGACGTGAGACGCCTGGATGAGAGGATGAATAGGGTTCCTCCAAGTCGATAGATCTCACACCAAGGTCACCTGCTGGAGCCAATGCAACTGCAAATGCGCCTTCCCTTCGCCTCCCTTCCGAAAGGCGGAGCGATCCCTGCTCAAGCTCGCAAGTGAAAAAACAAGTTACTGGAGGCATTCCGTTCAGACCTTGACAAGTCCCGAGTGCCTTAAAGGCTTAACAACCTGCGCATAGCTGCTCAGCCGCTGCGCAGCCATCCAATGGCTGCCGCGAGGCCCACAGTATCATCCGCCTCGGTGCGGCGAATGTTGCTGCCAGTCATCGGCTGCGCTGTCGCCCTTTATTGGTTCATGACGCACGCCAAACGAGCGATAATAGGCCCATGTGTGTGCGTGGGAGCGGCTTCAGTCATGATGCATCTGCGCCTCAAAGGGCTTGGCTGGCAGGTCCTTCCAAGGAAATCAGTGCACATCTGCGGGAATGCATGTGTCTTGTATTTCTCGTGCTGTTCGTTCAGGTGGTCAGAGTGGCGCTGCTGGTGGCCAAAGATATGCTGACGGACAAGTCGACTGCTTCGGTACCTCTGCAAAGGGACACGAGAGGGGCGATATCGCGCGTGCGACGTCTGTGTGACATGGTTGCAGGGGCTGCTCAGCAACTTGCTGCAGCTGCTTTGTGCAGCGGGCCTCTTCCTCAGCATGACCAGCCCTGCAGTCTGGCGCCGCGGCCTGGCCCTCTGTGCTGTCGCCGTCCTCGCGTCCGTGTGTGTCGCCCGGCAGGAGTGGCAGCTACTGGTTGCTACGACCGCACTGGGCATGGCGCATGTCGGGCTGCACGGACGAGGCTGGCAGGTGCGCTGTGAACGAAATCCTCTGTGCTTGCATCTCTTGTATGTACCTGTGTATGTGATGTGACTCATTCGTGCAGGTCGTGAGGATGGCTCTGCTGTTGGCGAATGAGCATCTGCGGGACAAATCGACTGCATCGGTATGCACCTTCCCAACGCCTCATTCATTCAGTACATCAATGAACATTTCTCTCTCTCTCTCTCTCTCTCTCTCTCTGTGTGTGTGTGTGTGTGTGTGTGAAACCCCCGCAGGTCATGCTGACGGGGCTGATACAGCTCCTCTGTTTGGTGGATGTGCTGTGCCGCATCGCCACTCGCCTCACGCCCATCCCTGGCCAGCAGCAACAGCCATCCACAACGACACTCGCAAAGGCAGACAGCCCCGCCAGCACTCCTGCTGCAGCGGCGAGCATCACCAAGGCAACAAACGAGCAACAAGACGGAGCGCGGGTGAGCGACTGGGTGCATGTGGCGAGCAACCAAGTGGATGAATGGCCTTTCCTGTCTGTCGTCTCTCTTGCTGTCCTTGCGTGTTTGCCTTCAGGAGGCATCGCTCTCTACCAACGTTCTTTTCCCGTTGCTGAGGCCGCCAAACGATCAGTCGGCCCGACAGGCGCCTTTCTGCTGCACCAGCAAGGCGCGGGACGTGGTGCCCATCGGCTTCACGCCCATGCAAGATGGCGTCTACCTCATCACTGACAATCAGGATCACCACACCAGCATTAATTACGCGGACACGCAGATCGCCGCCAGTTGCATCATGGGGCAGGCACTGCACACGCTGCTGGGAGCGTTGCAGTGCGGCCCCATCGACATCTGCCCCTCACTGATGCGGTTCGTCGAGGAATCGCCGATCCTCGCCCACACAGTCCAGGCCGACCAGTGCCTGCTCGCCCTACCATTCGATGAGGCGCGTGGCTGGGGGGTTTCGGTGTATCCTCTGCTCACTAAAGGCAGCTTCGGTGGCATGAGCATGCAGCGGGGGATGGGTGGGGGCAAGAGAGAGGCCACCCACTGCGGCATTGTCATCGGCACCCCGGAGAGGCTCATCAATGGTGTGGGCCACGTCGGGTAAGTAGGCCAAGACAGTGGGTGGATGGATGGATGGTGCCGATTTCATTCGTCCATTGTGTGTGGTGTGGTGTGTTGTGGTGTGGTGTGGTGTGGTGTGTGTGTCATGCAGCCGCGCTTCTCGGCTGGGCGTCTTTGTCGAGTGGGAGCGGAAAGTCCGGGACTGCGAGAGAGAGGTTATCAAGGAGATGGCACAAGCGATCCAGGAGGTCAGCACCGGTCACATAAATATCCTCTTCTATGAGTGATGTTTGTATGTGTGTCTTTATCTTCCTTCGTATCTCAGGAGGACCACAGGTGCCTGCTGGTGGGTCTGCTGCCGCTGACTGCCATCGACATGGCCGCCATTTTCCCCTCCCCACTGCACACCCACATTTATCATGACGCCCATCTTCTGTCGGCCATCGTCACGCCACCCACCGCACCATCCGCCCGCCCCAGGCGCAGCATAAGATCGATGTGGCACACAATCCTGCGCCAAACTGGGTGCATCGACAGCACGCTCACGCTGCCTGCCGAGTCGGTCGGCTTGGTGGCATTGGGTATGGTGGCCCAGGAGAAGCGGGAGCATGACCACAAGACCCCTAGGGAGGTGGACACGGCTGGCTCGGTGACACCTATGGGCGGCGGAGGGGGCGGTGTATGGTGCGACGCCAATACGGTCGACAGCATCAGTGAGAGCGAGCTGGAGGGTGGCGTGAGTGAGGAGGCCGTCACCGATCAGGAGGGCAAGTGTGCAGATGGGGGGGTTAGTGAGGGCTGCAGTGCGGCTTCGGCCTGTTTGTTTGAGGCCGCCTATCTGGCGGCGTATGTGCTCCTGTTGAGCGGCATCTGGCAGCCCATACAGGTGGGTGAACACGGCATGCACAAACACATGGGCCGACAGCCTAGCCGGATGGACAGCGTGTGTGTTTGCTGCTTGGTTCCCTCAGGCATTGCTGTTGGTGGTGTTTACGCTTGCCCTGCCGCCCACCTCACGGCCGCTCCTGTCGGCTGTGCCGCTCGGGGGCCTCATCATGACCATCATCGTGGCCACCTTCATGACGTGTGGCGATGCTGCAATCACACAGACGGCCACTCTCATTAGGTACGCCGAACCATACAGACGGCCACATGGGTCGCTCATGACTCACTCCGTTGTGTTGTCTGTTGTCTCTGATGGATGCGATGTGCGCAGCGGCTGGCTGACGGTGGTGCTGGTGTCTTTGGCAAGCAGTGGTGCTAAGACGGATGGGCCGCAGGTCGTGAGGGCCACGTGTGTGCTGGCGGGCAGCGTGGCGGCACTGGCTCTCTGGACGAACCTCTACATGGCCCTTCCCGCAATGCCCATACTGTGAGTGAGAGCACTGACGGCTGGCCCACGGGCAAATGTCACAGAGCAATTTGCTTTTTGTGTGTGTCGTCAGGTCTATCATATCGTCGTGTTGGTTCCCCCTGTTTGGCGTCACCATAGCAAGCGGCACGGCCAGATGGCTGGCGGTCATCGACTACGGGGGCGCTGAGAGCCAGACAACGGACCTCAAGCCAATTTGGTGTTGCTGAGAGGGTTTATGCGTGTGTGGACGGCTGTGCGCTGTGTCGTTCATTGTCTGTCTGGCCGGCGACGGGATGCTTGTTGACATGTTGATTTATTTGTGCTGGCGGGGGGTGTATGTGATGTGCTGGCTGGGGGTGCATAGTCTGTGTGTGGGTATTATACCGCTCTTCTGTGTGTGAAAATCTTGACGTTCATTCTCTATGGTTTATGTCTGTCTGTCTGTCTGTGCAAACAACATGTGCATAGAGACCCTCTCCCCTCCCACCAATCCCCCATCAACTGACTGCTGCTCAATGTCGGCAATACCACTCACACGCACCACATTATTCCTTCCTCCATCGCACAAAGTATCGGCTGGTCCTCTTGCCGCCGCTCCAGAAGCGATCGAAATAGCTGCTGCCACTTCCCTCTCCCTCTCCCTCTCCAGCCCCCTCTCCAGTGTCAGACAGAGGCGCATAGCCGTCCGGCCAGCCGCGCACACACGGCTCGTGTGGGTGCGTCGAGACCAGCTGTGTGGCAGAGCTCAGCTGCTGGTGGATGGTGTGGCAGTAGGGCAGACTGTCCGACACGACCGTCACCACTCCTCCAACACACAGCACCCTGACACACACACACGCACACACACACAGACACTTGGGTGGGTGTATTGCGTGTCTGATGTTTTGGCTCAGCTCGCTCACCGCCGTATTTGGTTGAAGAAGTCGCCTGTGAGGAGGTGGCCCGACCCCCCTGACCACAGAGGCGGCTGCGGGAAGGTCACCCACACCTCGGCCACACTGTCGGAAGAGAAGTGCCGCACCATGGCGGCGTGCGCATCGCCCCCCACGATGCACAGATTGGGCAAGGCGGCCAGGCTGCCGCGGCTGAACATCTGCAGACAGAGACACACACACACACATAGATGGAGGCAGGCGGGCGGCTCGCTTGCTGTGCGTGCGTGTGGGCGTGTGTGGCATACATACCTGGTAGCACCTGTCGTGTCTGAGTTCCATGGCCACCCAGTTGCTCACACCGACCTCAGAACTCGCCTGTAACACACAACACAAGGGGGAAGCAAACAATCAAACAACTGGGCATCTCTCTCTCTCTCTCTCCTGATCGAACGCCCACCTTTGCAGTGACCCATTCGCCGCCCCCACTGCACACCTCGACCTTCACGGGCAGCCCGCCCCCCTCACCGAACACCCTCCCCCACCTGAACCGGTGCTGCCGTCGGCTCAGCTGGCCGCCATACACACGAAAGAACTCCGACGCCCTCACAGACAACGTGTCGGTGCCTTTCAGCTCGCGAAGAGTGTGGCGGCGAAGGAAGTCCGTGAGACCGAAGGACGACAGACGACGGCCATAGTGCGTGCCGCGCTCTTCCGCCACCATTATGTCTTGTGTGCTGTCGTCATTTCCCTCTGTCCAGACAAGGCGCCGGAAAGCGGAAAAGAGCTGGTCTGGTGTGACCGTGACGGCGGACTCTGTGGTGAGCTTGTTGTCGAGATGGTCCAGGTCTCTCCTCAGCTCCTTGCCACGATGCTTCAAGAAGAGCTGCTGACTCCTCTGCTGACCGCCGCCTTGGCTGGCGGTAGCTGACGCTGCCGCTGCTGATCGTGGTGTGGGTGAAGAGCCGGACAGTGCTCGAGCCTTGCCGATGCAGTCTCTCGCCCGTTTCCTCTCGCCGAAGAGCGCATGTGCGACGGCGATGTTGTGGTAAGTCTCGGCCAGGAGGATGCTGACGGCTCCCTCCTCTGCTGTGGCCCTGCTGCTGTCCACCAGACGGCCCATCAGCTGCACCAGGCCCTCTGCGTCGCTCATGAGGTGAGCTTGCGCGAGCAGCTGCACCAAAGCGGCGAGAGACGACTGGCAGGCCGCTATGCCGCCGCCGCCGCTGTCGGAATGCTCCTCAGGGGCCAGCTGTCCATCGATTAGTCCTGCCGATTGGGCCTCTACCAAATGCCTGGAGATACACGCAGAGAGAAGCCCAGATCGACAGCAGTATCCGTGTGTCTGTGTCCGTGTGTGTCTGCTGGCCCCTGGCCGTGCCCACCTTACTTGGCATTTTTGAGGGCTCTGTCGAGCTGGCCTGTCCTGAGGTAGCCTCTCATCAGAGCAGAGAGCGTCCGGATGTTCGGCTGCACGCCGGCGGCCGTCATGGCGTCCATGAGTCTCTCTGCCTCTGCCATGTTTCCCTGGTTGCTGTACCCCTTGACCATGGTCGTGTAGACAATCAGGTTCGGGGCAATGCCGTCCTGATTCTGCATGCGCTCGTACAAGTGAGCCGCCCGCTGCATCTCGCCGCACCGAACGCAGCAGTTGATGAGCGACGAGTAGGCCACTATCTGAAGGAAAAGGGCAAAAGGAATGACGTCATTCACGCATCAGTTGTCACATTCATCCACTCCCATGCGTGTGGCGGGTGGCTTTTGTGTGTGTCCGTCCGGCGTGTGTGTTGCCTACCGTGGGCTTCAGGTTGAGCTCACTGATCCGGGCGAAGTGCTGCAACGCCATACAAGGACACGCGCTCGGGATTCACTCATCTGTCTGTCTGTCTTTGCTCATGTCTGCCTGCCTGTACCTGGAATGCCTCTCCGAGTCTCCCCTTGCGCGTGCACGCACTGATCTGCTGGTTGATGTGAATCAGCTGCTGCTGCTCACGCCCGCGGTGATGCCGCTCGTCGGAACGTGACGCGGATGCGAAGCGTCGTCTTTTTTGCCTCTGGTTGGCTCGGGGCTGTGAGTCCCGTTGTCTCTTCATGGCTTTTGACACCTGTCCTTGTTCTTCACTCGCGAGCTTGAGCGGGATCGCTCCTCCTCGAGGGAGGCGAAGGGAAGGCGCATTTGCAGTTGCATTGGCTCCAGCAGGTGACCTTGATGTGAGATCTATCGATTTGGAGGAACACGATTCATCCTCTCATCCAGGCGTCTCACGTCTACATTCTCACACATGAAAAGTCTCCGTCTTGACTACAAATGACAACACAACCGGTCTACACCCAAATGTCCATCTACATCCCCTTACACAACACACATGCCTCAAGCACTCGAACGTACAAAGGAACAGGTTCTGTTCAGTGTCAGACCGAGTAGTGCATCAACATCGTCTCGACATGGCACAATCCACGCATGGCCATCCTCCTGCCTCCTCACAAATGCCTTCTCTCCCCGCCCCCCACCCCCTCGCAGCCACACTGACTTGATCTCCATCGACCGCATATCGGGATCACTGAAGAGATCGGCCGCGCCCGGCAGCGGATTGCCCGGCAGAGGCGGCCACACATTGGTTTCCATCCACTGCTGCCGGCGATCTTCATAGTCGATAAAAGGCTCGTCCTCTCCTGGCGGTAAGGCGTCGCCGCGGACACACTTGTAGCCCCACACATCGCTCAGCTTGCCATCCTTGTCCACCACGAAGACAAGAAAGTCATATTTGTCCTCGAAGGCATCAGGCTTGGGCTGATAGAAGAAGACGGTGTCAGGATCCCATCTGGATCTTTCAGAGGGAGGTCCGCTCCTTCGGACAAACGCCTTAATGACATCCTCAGTGTTTCTCCACTCCGAGCTCAAGTACCTGCCAAATTTGCAGCCCATCGACTGTGTGTCCCCGCTCAACGGTATCACGAGAGAGCCGGGAAGCACATTGCCGACCTGCGGTGGGACCTCGTTAGCTTCGCGGGGGCGGAGGCTCCATCGGGTCAGCCTCTCTATTTCGCCTTGCAGCAATCGTATGAGCATCGCCGCTGTACACGGCCCGACCCACTGGCGTCCCTCCTCAGCATGATTGAGCATCCGCAGGCTGCTGGCAACAGCATTCAGGCCCTCACAAAACGACTCGCCAGCTTTCTCCTTGAGAGAGTCCCATTGCGCCAGAGAAGCGCACATACCGGCCAGATAGCAAGGAGGCAGTGAGTATGTTCTGTGCCACGCCAGTCGTCCATGCCAAATCTGAGAAGTCCTCACTTCGTCAAACACATTCAGCAATGCCGTCCAGTTGCCGATATTAGGCCCAAAAGAGCCGCTGGTCCCTTCCATCGCCGTAGCCAGAAAATCGCATAATACCCCAATCGCTCCAAATCTTCTCCGTGGATCGACACAACTGACGTTGCCGACTTTGGCCTCCAGAGAGCCACCGTGTTGACACATCTCCCATACCAGTCCAGGAGATCGCCCGGCCCAGCAAATCGTCCCACGAGTCACATTGCTGTCCAGAAGGTGCTCCAGATCCTTTTCCCTCGATCAAAGGCAGCTCTGGTCGGAGCAGGTCACGCCACTTCCGGAACATTGGATCGAGGAAGGAGAGAAAATCGCCGCTGACAGTGGTCGCATTGTTGGGCTCAGCGAAGACGAAATGCCGGTCACGACGATTAAGGAAATTGCACTTGAGGTATCTGCCCACTTTGCCCTCCGCTTCATAGCGTTCGTCGCCCTGCAGAGTCGCAAAGCGGTGAAGATCGTCGATAAGCAGCAGACACGGGTGATAGTCAAGCCACTCACGAGCGGTGCGCTCGCTGATGAATGCGTGCCTGAGCCACATCGTAAAGTTCAGCTTGTCGACATCCACATTGGCTGCCCGTGCGACCCTTGCTCGCGCCTCGTCGGTCGCCGCCGCCCACGCCAGCCGCAGATTGAGTGAGTCGAACAACGGCGTAGAGGCGCCTTCGGTGTCTATGTTGTACTCGGTCTCGTCACCAAAAGGGATAAAGATGGCGGGGATGCCTTCCTGTCGCAGCTTCTTAGACAGCTCTTTCAGCATCCTGGTCTTGCCAGCCCCTTGGAAGCCGACGAATGACATTGGCATCACTCGCGCGCTCGAATCGTCATACCTCCCGTACTCGCGCAGCAGCAGCGAATAGGCCTTGTCCATATAATCGCTCCCAATGAACACCTCAGGCTCTGTCGTCAAGTCCACTCGAGGGAGCGGCACGTCAGCCGTGGGCAACAGATCATCCACTGTCAGCTCCACGCGACCTGCAGACGAACCACACACGATGAGTCTTGCTGCGTGGTCGGCAATGGGGAGATGAACGTGTGCCCACCTTCCAGCGATGGCTTGCCGACTGCCTCCGATGAATCGCCGGCCGTTTCCGCCTGTGTGGCGACGGCAGAGAGCAGCGCTGTGTGACGCCGCATGGACGGCCATCTGAAAGCCACACACATATGGACGGCATCCCATCTGCCTGTCCGTCTGTGTGCATTCATGTACCTGGCTGTTGCAGCTGAAGGCCGCATTCTGTTGATTGTGCCCAGGGATGGAGAAGGAGTGGATGGATGGCGCAGCTGAACGAAACACACACAGGCAGAAGCACAGAGAAGGAATCGTTCGTACGAATGGCGTGGATCCCCGTCGATCTGTCCAGTCAGCTCACCTCTCGGCTCTTGCCGGCATGGATGGCCCTCACAGACTCATCTCGACGCATCCCAAAGCCCCTCAGGGGCATCTCCCTCGGCACACTTGGCAGGAAGGCTTCTAGAGGGCCTCCCCTCCCTCTGTGCGGACGCATGCGCATCAGCTGGAGCCCACTCGCCGCTCTGTCGCTGCCGATGGCAGCGGCAGTCTGCGTCGTGTTCAGCGGCAGAAGCAGCAACGCCATAGAGATGAGGCGAGAGAAGGCGACAAGATGGACTCGGGGAGGCATGCAGCGGACCGTCATTCTGTCAGGGATGGGACGAAACAGCCTGTTTGAAGCAACGTGCACACACAGCGGGGAGAGAGCGACGAGATGAACTGTCAGTGAGCTGTGGGATTCTCTGCTTATTGATTCGCCGTACACCGATGGTGTCCGCGGGAAGCACTTGAAGACGGGAGATCTCGTCCCGCCGAACTGCGAGCTGTGGAAGGGGGGCGCATGCAGACTGGGGGCTTCGCCTTCCGTGCGTTGCGTTGGGCTCCCTGTGCGACAATCCTCATGAGATCCTGACGTGAATGTGTGCTTGATCAGAGGAAACGGCGTTGCTCTGCAGTGTCTAAGGACCACATCGCTCGAGGCATCTCACCCCTCACCCACCAGATCTCACTGTTGCTCTGACTCTCTCTTCTTCCCGGACTGATGGCGAAATCAGCGGCCCCGCTGCTGCCGCTGCTGCTGCTGGTGGTGGTGGTGGTGGCCAGCCTGGCTCTTGCACACGACATCCAGTGAGTCGGAGAGACACCCACATCGATGCAATTGCATTGATTCATGCGTGTGCAGGCTTGAGCGGGACGGTCACCTCTCTCAGTCTGCCAACCACTCTTGCGCCCTCTTCGACGACAGGCAAGACAGACAGAGACTCGCCCACCGCGAAGTCGACACGACTGCCCTTTGGCTGTCTGTCTGTCTCGCTGTCTCGCTGTCTCGCTGTCTGGCTCTCTGGCTCTCTGCAGCTGGAACCAGCCCACGGACGGCCCATACGACAATGAGACTGAGACTGAGACTGAAACTGAGACTGAGGCTGAGTATTCGGACGACGAAGGCGAATACGAAAATGACGAAGACGAGGGCAAGGAGCCCCCCGTGACGCCGTACAGGAAGCAGCCCAAGGCTGCCGGGGATTTCTACTTTAGAGGAGACCCCTCTTCCCCCGAAGACCCGGAGGTCGAGTACGACGATACGGACGACTTCGTCGGGTGGGAGTATCACATCCGTGACGCCAGCTCACCGGGGTACGAGACCGAGGAGGAGACCGAGACCGAGGAGGAGCGGAACGAGCGGCACCAAAAAGAAATCCCCGCTAAGGAACCCGCCAACAGCGATCTGATCAAGGCGATGAAGTACACGGACTACAAGGCCACCCAGCTCATGCAGGACACCGCCAGGGTGTGGAAAAAGTCCGGGGAGCCATTCCCCCAGTAAGGAAGAAACGATACGAGCCAGGCATGCCGCAGAAGTACACGAACGCTCTCTCTGTCTCTCTCTCTGTCTGTCTGTCTATCTCTCTGTCTGTCTCTCTGCTCTCTGTCTCTCTCTCTGTCTGTCTGTCTGTCTGTCTGTGTCTCTCGGTTGGTGTATGCGTGTGTTTCTACCAGGTGTTGTGTGTGCGTAGACGCAAAAGAAAAGAGAGTCAAGGGCGGCGACAAGGACTTTCAGGCGCCCATCAAAACCGTGCCCCTGGAAGATCGCCACTGCATCATGGTCCCAACCTTCAGGCCCGTTCAAGAGGGCAAAGCGCCGCGGACGGGAGTCGGCAGCTCGTTCAAGAAAAAGGACTGCAGGGTCATGTGCAAGACGCTCTTCAACAGCGACTACAGCTACTTTTACTCACTGAAGCTCGTTGAAGCGGCCAAGGGCAAGGGGGCGGCCGCCAAAACCAAGCAAGGCGTCAACAGCTGCTGGACAGCCGGAAGGGTGACTCACAACAATGAGTGTGACAGTCAGCTGTGGGCAAGGCAGAGAGGCGGCACTCACTCACGCACGCGCCATTTTCGGTGTCTCTCTCTCTGCACGCTCTGTGTCAGTGCATGCACATGGCTGCGAAGGTCGCCCGGCATCCGGACTCCGGAGCCAAGTGCACTGACGTCAGGAAGTGCCCCCCCTGCACCACGGAGCTGCGGAAAGAGATGGGACACATCCGCTGCCGCCCCCTGACGTCCGCCGAAGACGTCAAGCACTTCCAAGACGCCTTCGAAGCGGTCGGCCGCACACCCAAGAAGGCCGTCCCGGGAAACATCGCCGAGATCAAGTGTGTGAGAACTTAGTCAATCAGTCGGTCAAAAGGGTGTCTGCTTTGTTTGCCCTGCGTCGACATGACCAATAGATATCTCTCTCTCTCTCTCTCTGTATGTGTGCAGATACACGAGTGTGCCCAAGATTCTGTACGTGCTGACCAAGTACCTGGGCCCCCAAGACACACCCAAGACACAGAAACAGCCGCCCGAGGAGAAGCCCAAAGCCAAGAAAACCACACAGAAGGCCGTCGAGACCAAAAAGAAGGCTGTCGAGACGCGTCAACCAGCAGCAGCGCCGCACCGACCACCCCCCAAAGGTGGGATTGCCATTCCGGGAATGACCGCGGTTCGACCCGCTGTCGCCCCTCATGTCATGCCGCCACTGTCCGCGGTTCGACCCGCTGTCGCCCCTGAGGGAGGGGAGGATGAAACCGAGGAGGACGAAGGCGACTACTACGACTACTATTGAGAGCTGAGCGAGAGACAAAAGGACGCCATCGCATCCCTGTGCCTTCACTTGATTGCGTGGTGGTGAGAAGGGGAGAAGGTGGTCGAAAGAGAGAAAAAGACAAATGGATGGATGGCTGAAAGATGTGGCGGAGAAACACGACCATCCGACATACGACAACTTTGACCCCATGTTGGCCGAAAGGAATTCACTCATTATCGCACATTAGGTTGTCTGTCCAGAACCATCGGCTGTCTGTGGTGCACAGCCGGTCACTCAAACCTGTCCACCCACATCCACATACATCAACGGCCGAAAAGGCCCCCTTCCCCCCTCCCTCCCTTCCTCCGAGAAGCGTTACAGCAGCAGCAAACGTGTGAATAAAATCAGCGCCACCGGTCGTCATCTGACGTGTGGGCGACTTGGCTGGCGTCATACACAGACAGGCTGAACGAAAAGCATGAAGCAAAGAATGACAAACGAAAAGGACAAGTCCTGCCTACCCTACCAACTGCCTGCTGCATGCGATGCCGTCGATATTACGATTACGAGTCCACTAGGGTGAGAACCACCGTTGCGACCGGACTCGATGCATGCATGGCACGCACACGAGACATTGCTCTCTCCCTCTCTCCCCCTCTCAGGTAAGGCAAAACCGAACCCAGTCAGTGCTTCCTCTCTCTCTTTCTCGCTCTCTCTCTCTCCCATATCTGTCTGTCCCCTCAGGGAGCGGCAAACAGACTGCGCAATCGATCGCCTCTCCCTTGTCAGCTATGGAACTAGTTGCGTGTGTATATATATGTGTGAAGATCGATCGCTGTCTACATGACTCATCAACGAAACGAACGGCACACATCCATCCATCCATTCCCCTCAGCCAGCCAGCCAGCCAGCCAGACAGCCAGACAGCCATTCAGCACGGCGAGAGAAGGCACTACACACCAGACAGACAGACAGCCCGGCCACTAGGAGAATCGGCCTATATTAAAAACACCTACGGTGATTTGTCGCCCTTAGAAAAACTTCACGCCCATGAAGACACTCGGGGGGTCTGGCCGCCCGCCTGCCTCCCTGCCCGCCGGCCTGGCTGCAGCCAGCAGGCGTGTGTGAGGAATTGGCCACTCCCTCACACACGCCTTGCGGGCTGCGGGCCGGCAGACAGGCAGACAGGGAGGTCGGCACCCCCACACACTTCACTGCCCAGAGCGGCAGCTTAGAAAACGATACAAATGGGTATATATGCAGCCAGGGACTAGGACCACAGACAGGCACGCACATGACTCGCAGATCGAGTGGACGATCAGACTAGCACTAGAGAGAGGGGAGGGAGGGGGACTAGACTAGACTAGACTAGGGGGCAGGGAGACGGGCAAAGAGTATAGCTCATATTATCACTCTCACGGCCACACAGATGCGCACAGTGCCGGGCCACATCCATGCAGATCGACCGACCAACACACGGCACCCAAATGAACACGTCACACCCAATCGACACGCACCACAGGCCAGACACAGACAGACAGACAGACAGACGGGCCGCAACGAAACAAAAGGATACGGTCATCCAAAAGCCACGCATTCAGTAAGGAAAAGGGCGAGAGAATCCTTTGTGCGAGTCGGCCGGTCGAGTGAACGACCGACCGCACAAGCAAGCAAACAGACAAACGAACGAACGCTGCCTTGCCGTGAACAGGGCAGCGGAAAGAAAGACACACCATCCCCCATGCGACCGCATCGGTCAATCTGATGAAAGATGACAACACACATGCAGCAGTGTGGGGGCCTTTTTGTAATTCGCCATTCGCCGGTGCACCACACCTTCTCTCTCTCTGCTTGTGTCTTGGTGTGTCTACGCGGCGCAGGCGGGGCCACCAACGGCGCAGTCCGATGTGGCCGTCTCCCCCGGCGGCGGCGTAAATGTGACGTCGGTGCACGTCACATCGCTTTCGGAATCACACTTGAGCTCCTCAATGAAGTTGACACTCTCGAGAATGACGCCCGCACCCTGCTTGCTGAAGTCCCCTGCACCAGACACACATAAATACACGCACAGGGGATGCATGTCATGTCCGCCAGCCACCCACCCACCAGCGATGAGGGTGCTGTCCTGCACAGTCACGGGTCCGCTCTCGCTGATGGCGAGGCTGACATCCGTGACTTGGCGGATTTCGATCGTCGACCCATCGCTCTTGGTGATCTCGAACGTCTCGCCGCCTCCCTGCACATCCGTGATGGGTGATAGGTCCGCTGATCTCCTCGAGCTTGATGTCGCCCTCGCCCCCCAAGGCCGTGATCGTGACGGATGCCGACACGCCGCTGATGGAGACGTCGCTGTCCACACCGACCTTAGTCAGTGTGACGCCTTTGATGTCGTCTCCCGAGATGTTGATGTCGCTCAGGGGAGCAGCACTGGTGTCAGTTCCTTCCACTGTGACACTTCCTGCACACACAAATCGAATCGAATCAAGTCGAGTCAAGTCGGTGCACAGCCGTCGACTGACGCCTTACCGTCGAGATTGTCAACCAAGAAATCGAAGCCTTCGGACCCTCTCGGCTTCGTAATGCTGAGGTCTCCAGACCCTCCTTGATTTCAACACCGTCTACAGTGCTGGAGGTGATGGTCTTCTCACCGGCAATGAGCTCTATCTTGAGAGTGAACCCCGTTGTTGTGCCACCGTCCACAGGCCCGGTGGTGTCGCTGATCAACAACGGGATCTCAGCAGGGCCCTTGAGCTCGACGTCCTTGATGATGCTGCCGTCGCCGATGGTCACCGAGCCGTCACCGCCCTCTATGCTGATGGCTGATGGACAGAGGGAAGCGATGCACGACAGTGACCCCACCCACAGAAGACCAGCCAGCCCCAGCCAGACAGCTCACTTCCGAGGATGCCGCCTGACACAACGAGTTCGCCGCCCTCTTTGAAAAGCACGCTCCCAGAAACTGGAACACACAAATAACACACACACACACACACGGATGTCGCACCCAGGCAGCCAAACCTCCCTCCCTCCCTCCCTCCCACCTGAGGTGTCCACGATACAGATCCTGCCAGCGCCGTTGTCGGCCTCGATGCTGTTGCTGACCACGCTGTTCAGGATGATAGCTATCGAGTCCGTACCCAACACTCGCAGGCCGCCATTGAGCCTGGCGTCGTCGAACACACGGCAATTGCCCCGCCGCACCGTCTGCTGGCTGTTGAAGGGGCCAGACTCTACTTCCGTGTCCGTGGGACATGTCACCCCGGCGCTCACGCAAGCGTCTGGGATTGCCAACGGCTTCAGCTTGTCCTTCCCCTCGGAGTCCGTGCCGCCTTTGAGGGCCGGGGCGGCCTCGCCAAACCACGCCAGCAGGGCCGCACACGCCGCCAGCAGCACACACAGGCCGCGCACACACGACATCATGACTACGGACCCACACACACACACACACGACAGAGAGACCAACAGGAACCAGGCCAGACAGACAGACAGCCAGCAGGAAGGAAGCCGAAGCGCCCGCCGAGAAAGAAAAAAACCAAACAACCAGGCGAAGCGCCCCGCAACCCGCCCGTGGCGTTGGCAACGGAAGCGTGTGCTATTTCTGTCTTTGGGGTTTCAAAGCCAAATACAACCGGGCCTGACGTTTTGGCTGCGTGCTTGTGATCTTGCGTCTCGTGGATCGCGCCTTGCCTTCTCAGTTTGCTTTTTCGGCCCAGTGCTGCTGTACAACACTGCCAAGGGCCTGGCTATCGTCTCTCACACACCTGAATCGCCCATCTGCCTTCCTGGTATGCATGCGTGCGGACACGGAAAAGGGAACGAGGGCACGGAAAGGGACGCATATGTGTGTGTTCGTGTGTGGGTCTGTGCGTCGTCGATGTGCTGTTGTGGTGTGGTATGGCATGGCAGGTTGTTTTTCGCACTTTTCTGTTGCCTCGCTGTTCCGTTTGGGTGCGCTGTACACTACTATCTGGTTGGCAAGCGCACACACTGACTGGATGG